CCCAAAACCCCAAAACCCCAAAACCCCAAAACCCCAAAACCCCTCAATAGTAATAAAAATTGAAAAAAATGAACAAGAAGCACAGGGAGTTATGGTGGTTCTACATCATCCTTATCTTTCTTAACCTCAGTTGTATCGCTTCAGTTATCATTCTATTGAAGAAGTACTGGAAGTTCAGGATCAGAGAGTTTTATTTTACTCTAATCACTATATTTATGATCCTCACTTATGTTACAAGGATCATCGATGTAATATATGTATGGGTTGCAGAGCCAGATACCCTCTTCAATAAGAATCATATTAATCACCATTATAAAATTATGGAGCATACTAAGGTATTATAGTGTCCTTTCCACCAATTCTGTTCAACGGATTCTCAATTCTGGGGTACTCTTTCCGATGGACTAACTTCTGTGTAATGACAACCGCACAAGCAAGTCTCAATGAAAGGAAGGTAGTGACTAAAGAAAATTTTGTAAAATGGGTCTATCTCTTGACAATCTCAGTCCTTTTCATCATCTACATCGCTGCTGTAATTTTCCAGAAAATATTAATAGCCTGCTTTATCTCGACCAGCAGTGTACTTCTCTTCAGCGGTATTCTGCTTTTATTTGTTTCTAACTACTTCTTATACGTATTGAAGAGGGATAAGAGAGAGTTGTACGAGCAGAAAGCATGCGCTGTCAGGACTTACACTATTATAATCTCTCTATGCATGATATATGGGAGTTTCAACCTTATATTTGACCTCTGAGTTAATACAGGCAAAACCGACACATCTACTCTCTCACAAATAGATGATATATTGATGATGACCTGGTTCTTTACCGAGCTGTTGCCTTCTATCTCCATTATGATCGTACTTTGGAAGTCATACAAAGAGATTCTGCTGTACAGAACTCTCAGGACATCCTTATGCGGCGATGTAGCCAGCAAGTCGTGTATAGGTAAGCATTCCTTATGATTCTTGATTAAAAAGCCTGGATTTTCTCAAATTTGGGCTATCAAGAGTTCATCAAGATTTACATAATTTTGAAACATTAAAAACAGTTCTCTGTTTGCTACCTCACTATGTGATCGGGTTCGTTCATTTTTACAATGATTTATTCGAATTTGATAGAAAAAACTAGGCATCAGATGTCATTCTTGATTAGAGAAGTGAATTTTATCGTGCCTGGAAGGATAGTAGGTCGATTTAATAACATTTCTAGGGTCAAAATGAAACCCATAATAGTTTTAAGATCCATAATTTGAGCATCTATGATATTTTATAAACTCTTGAATTTTGCTGTTCTATTATTGGAGATATGTCAAGATAGCCTGAAAATATGTCGAATCTGCTCTATCTAAATTAGAATTACTTGTAGTTAATTTCTTCTCTAGAAATCATGAAATATTTCAGTAGCAATAAGATATATTAGTCTCTATAGTTTTACAAAATAATCAGTTCTCAACTTATTTCGAAAATATAGAAACAATCTTAAAAGAAGACTATGAAGAGGAAGAATCAATCAGAAAGTTAATTGCTAAGCAGCCAAGCTCGGCTCTCTCTGGCATTGGGTCTTTCAAGGCTGCAAGCTGGAATCATTCAGGAGGTCTCGAATACTCATACTACAGATCTACCTCCCAAGGTGAGGATCGATCAGGTGCTGGAAAGCCTCAGCCTTACCTGACTTATTACTAGTATGAGCATTTCTACAATTTTTGATGTGAGCTAAGGGGTTTTGGGGTTTTGGGGTTTTGGGGTTTTGGGG